ACACCTAAATCGGAAACGTGGAAACCCGGATATACGAAACACCGGAAATGCGGAAATACCGATCATCCGGAAATCGGCAAATCTGAAAACAATCAAAATCCAAAGCCAATTCAAAAAATTAGAGACAGGTGCATTCGTTTAGGGCTTTTTCGGGGATCAATCTAGGTTTCTGGGAAACTGCCCACCTACCCCTCCCCTAAGTCATCATTTTGCACTAAGTGAGAACAAGCTTAGGAGAAGGGCAGTTGGGCAGTTTTCCAGAAACCTGAATTGATCCTTCTTTTCAACACTGAGACACGGGAAAGATAAAACCTGTCAAATAAGCAAATCGTAGCTATTTGATTTTCGCTGAACTGAAACGCAGGCTTCATAAGAAACAGTAAATATCATTGACTTACAAACATGCTATGTGCGCTAACATATCACACTTGTGACTTTTTTTACTTCACAGATGTTGGCTTTATATCAAAACTGAGTGTGGCAATATCTAGGAAACCGAGCCAGCTCGGTTGTCTTGGCTTATTAGTATAAAGGCCCTTAAAAATCGCCTGTTAAGGGAGCATTCGTAGTTGTTTCTTTGGGGGGAAATGATGTTGATTTGGAAAAGAAATAAATTGCGGTAGAAAACGTATACACATAAACCATTTAGTCCGCTTATGGGATCAGAGGCACCTTGTTATGATGGTGGAGTCTCCACTGATTATTCACTTCATATTGTAAGTTTTAACACTCCCAAATCCAACATTTTCCAATTTTTCCAAAATTTAAATCATCCCCCCCTAATTTTTATACATTAACCGAGATCTCAGTCAATCAAAAAATGACTTGGGTTCAATAATTTTTCGAGAATTTTTGGATGATTCTTCTTAATGTTATATAGTGCTTAATTCCCACTTTAATATTTCTGTAAATTAGGTACATATTTTTTCCTAAAATTCAATAAAATTATTATATTTTTAGAAATTATTGTTATCATTATTATTATTATTATCATCATCATTATTATTATCTGAGGCAGTATGCGGAAAGAGTAATGGAGATCGAAGAGGGAACGCTCACTCCCCTAGTTTTCACGAGTACAGGTGGAATGGTGGATGAGTGTGTCAGGTAACACAGCAGACTTGCGGAGCTGATCGCAAATAAGAAGGGAGAAATTTACTCAAGCGCAATTTCCTTGATAAGAGCTAAAGGATCTTTCACCATCGTACGTTCTGCGATACTATACTTGAGAGGTTCAAAATCCAGGGCCGAGTTGTTCAAAGCTGGGTTAAGATAACCCAGGGTTAGTGAGAGATTTGAATTCAGTTTTGAAAGCTTAAAAGGAAGAGAGGAAATTTGCATATGTCTCGTATTAGCGGAATTATTGCATTTCAAACTAAAAAGTCGAATCTCGAGGGCGATTTCCGCAAAGAGATGGACATAAAATGAGTTACAAAGGGAAATCGGAAAATTCGTCACACCTTTTTTAGGTCTTTTATCTGTCAATCAGATGCAATAAAAAGGAAGTGAATATTTAACAACGCGATAGGGCTGGAGCTTCAGCAGTAAACTCGATACCTCTGAGTTCAAGAGCAAAAAACTTAAGCGTCTTTTGAAATTCGATGAAATAAAATCTTTTATAAGGTAATTTAGTCTTTTAGCTTTAATTTGATATATAACTTGCCTTTGTAGCGAAAATACTCGCGCGACTAGAATTTTTTTCTGTGGGCACCTCGTTTTCCTTTACCGAGACCTTAAGCGCTAATCGGCCTTCGAACAACTGGGCCCAGAAGAAGACAGCTAGACTTTGTTGACTCAGACCCACACATTGATAATATTAAAGCCTGCCCGAATTATTATTCTTTTTGCTTGTTTGTTTGTTTGTCTTTTTTTTTAAGAATTAGGAATTTAGGAATACGAGATTTTTATTCTTTTTAACTTTTTTTCTTTTTATAACAGAGACGGATTGGTAATGACTTAATTTAAAACTCTGGACTGCCTGCAAGAGTTAGTGACCGCATCTGAGCCGCAAGGAATGTATTTGTGAAATCGTTATTGACACAGTGATTGCTACTTTTATTATTTATACTATTCTTAATGTTATATAGTGCTTAATTTTTACTCCAAATATTTGTGTAAATTATGTACATATTTTTTAAAGTTAAATTATTTAATTATTGTTATTATTAAAGCAGCTATTTATTCCAGAGGGGAAATTTTTCTCTCGGTAGCACGGATAACACGGAGGATAGTGGATAACATGAGGAGAGCAGGAGAAAGTCATTTGGAATACAGGGAACAGTTGCAAGAAACTCCCATTTAATCTCGCAGCTTTAAGAAAGGAGTACATTTTGTATGGGTGTTTATACCTTGAGACCAATGTTTACACTCAATGGTGACACTAGGGGCAAGTCCTAAGGGCAACCCTTTTTGTAGGCCAAAACCTGATGCCACATGGCCAAGAAAGGCGCTAACACACTTTATTTCAGGAAAAGCCACAAATCACTAAAAAATGGTTGGAAAATTATTCCTACATTTGTCCCGAAAATTTGGGTTTTCTGACCCAAAATAAAAACTGCTTAGTTGATGTTTTGATTCTCCAACAAAGTCCAACCTCTGGACAGTCATTATATTTTATTTCTAACTGAGCTATTTATCTCGAAACGTGACATAGTCTCACTTGTGCATGAAAGGCTTAGGCCGGTTCAGGAATTCACAGCAGGTATTTGAAATGTTATGTTAGGATTTATACCTGTAAATGTGATACCTGATGGTCCTAAAGTTAGTTTATAGTTACTAGCATCACTGAAATCATAAAATTCTTCAAATATTTCCCTATACACATTATTCTTTGAATAAGGGGCTAATTTTGTCTCCAAATCTTTGACCATCTTTACAGTCGCCGGACTATTATTACGGCTTTTATCTGGAACAATATTTAATATCTTCTTCCGGTTCATATGGAGATCCACATTGTAAACAACTTTTGTGGGCTGAATATCAAATCCCGTATGATAATCATATGTTATGTTTGGGTCTAAATCCATTGCTTCGTCGAGAATACCATATGCTATTGGGTAATATTTATTAAAATTAGTTGGATAAACTCCCAGGTCAGACCCCGCCTGCGCCATAATATTTCCCACGTGAAGGAAATAAGGCGTTGATGAAGCTGTTTTACTGAATACTACCACAAGCTTATGGTAATACATAAATTCTGTCTGATTGGAGGATGTTTTATACTCATGTGAGTACTTATTGACATGCCATCTTTTTACAGTAATTCCCTGGCTGGTAGTTGTATCAACAGTAATTATAGATTTGTGGCACAATTGATAGTCTGTGGTAAGAGTTTCCAAACATAAGGTATATTCTTTGTCTTTTTGAAGGGGATTTGGATATGGAAACCAATTATATCTATAATGTCAAGACACCCATCGATAGTGATAAAGGGGTAAACAAGTCTTATGCTGATACTGAACTATCACTTTCTTGTGGTTTAATGACCGGCAATTTAGATATTAATAACAATAGGATATATAATTTAGCTCTCCACCAAATGGAAATGATCAACCAGCCACAAAAATATGGTCAGAGAATAAATTCCTGGATATGTCCAGTGGAGGTTTGGCAGGGCCTCTTAATATGTCCAATAATAAAATTACTCATCTTTCCAATCCCACAGACAATGGGGATGCTATAAATAATGTTGATACTAACTTTTTGAAACTGTCTGGTGGCACTGTAACTGGTCATATTATTCTTGCAAATCATGGTCTTGCTTCACAAGGTCAAACAATAAGCCGGAACACTGGAAATGCTTTTTTTGTGCAAATTATTAATCCATACGTATATACCCGATTCAATATGTCCAATAATAAGATAATCAATCTTGGAGATCCTATAGATGCTACAGATGGGGTTCATCTGAGAGAATTTAATAAAGATAATATAAAGCCATCTGATCACACCGACAGATTTGCATATCTTATGGATCCTAAAAATGGTCTTTTACAATGGACTGATTTACTAACCAACAGTATTACCTTAAACAGCATTGGTGATTTAGAAACAACATCAGGCAATTATCATACATACAATAAAAAGGTAATTAACGCCTCCATTAGAAAGAACTCAGAAGGCAGATATGAAATTTAGGGCACGACTTCCAGTGAGCAATATTTGAAATAATCGCGTCCCTCGAATAATTCCCTGCGTGCAGACGTCTCCTATTTCTTTTGTTGCACGCGGAAAAGGGACGTCTGCGTAACGCCGTCGCTAATCGTGTTCCAGCGTCCCGCTGGGTTCCCAATATCTTGGGAACACGCTGTGATAAGCTGACACACAGTGCGCATTGTTTGACTTAACGCTGATTGGTTGTTATCGAATGTGGTCTGATAATGTATGCGGTGATTTAAATGATTTATGTAAGCGGGGTTTTCCAACCAAAACAAATCAAAACATGTGCGATTGTGTGCTGTGTTTTTCGTCGATCGAAAAGCTGAGCGATCGAAATCTTGTGCGGGGGCGCGGAAAATTTAACGTGTACGAGGAAATTATTTCTTTACAATTTACTGTGCATGACACATCACATCATATTTGTAAACAGTGTCTGAGAAAACTACAAAAGCGGCGTGGACTTCGCACCAACTTAAGAGAACTCGACGAAGAAATTTTTCAAAGCTACAGCTCCAAAGCCTATAAGGCAGGGTTTCCTATCAAGAAAAAGGCCGTACAGGTACATGATTTAACTGCGGAAAGTCTGTTTCTCCTGAGAAGAGAATTCTTTTAGAGGAATCGTCAGATTATTATTCAAACGTTCGTGGCTAGATTCATTTTTCAACGCCTGTGAAAAACATTAATCCTACGTTTGACGTTATTCCCAACGTTTCTTCAGTTAGACCAGCAATCATACATGAACAAGGTCAAGATGAAAGTAAAACTGTTGTACAAGTATAGGTTCATTGGCCAAGCATGGTAAAATAAACACGCTGCCCGAAGGATTGGAAAACTTGGGAAAGATGTTATGTCGTGGCACGTATGGCCAGATAGCCACAGCGGCGTGGAAAAATCCCATGCTACGAAAACATCTGCAACAGCACTTTCTAAAAGAAGTTGACAAGGAATGTTCCAATATGTGTTCTTCCAAAGACCCGAGTTGTCTCCGTTCAACTAAGGCACAAGACGTGAAGAAGTTTAAATTTAGCAAGGTGGAAGGAGAACTGCAAAAGAGGGCTCCTCTCTTTAGCGCGGTTCTGTGGACTGCAAGTTTGAGGAAGAGTAAACGGGCAGATGAAGATCCTTTCTGGAAACCAAGTGTATGTATGGCGGCTGCAGTCTTGCTTAAGAACAGATCACCATGCATGACCCTACTTCAACTGATCAACACCATTATCATTTACCACTCAGGAATAATGGTAAGCGTGTACTACTTAAAGGTTATTTTGTCTGTAATCTTAAAAGTATTTTTCACGTTTTCTTGTTTTTTTTTATTATTTTCATGAGACTTGTTTATAATCTGATCATACAAAAAAGTGACTTTCAACATACTTGGTGCACATGGATACGTTTTTGAAACCATGCAAGAGCTATCCCATACCATTAATTCAATTAATGGTACACTTTAATTAGATCAAGCACATAACAAATTTTAGTTAACTCAAAACGCATGGCTACAGTTCATGGAGTGAAGAAGTTTTTACTTTTGTTTATAGGGGACTCTTTGCAGACTCAGTACACTTCGACTTACCACCTCAAATGTCTACTATTACAAGAAAATAGATGAGTTTGGTGAGAAATTCGATGCCAACATCAAAGAGGCTGTTAGGCAAGAGGGCCAGTTTATGCAGAAGAGCCAGCAAAGCACCACTTCATCAGTGCAACAGATTGAACAAGTAACACCGATGACATCAGATTCTGCTGGTTCTTCAAACATACCTCCTTCTAGGACTACAACAGCTGTTGCACTCACTTCAGCAGAGCCACAGGGGCAGCAAGTAATTATAACACCAATGATTTTAGATTCTGCTGGTCCTGCCAACATACCTCCTTCTGGGACTACAATAGCTGTTGCACTCACTTCATCAGAGCTACATAGGCAGCAAGTAGCACCAATGATTTTAGATTCTGCTGGTGATGCCATGACAATACCTCCATCTACGACTACAACAGCTGTGACACTCAAATCTGACAGTGGGAGAAAGCTAGTATTTGACAACTTTGACTTTAGACAAGAAGTTCATTACATGACACAGGATCACCAAAATGTGGATGTGCACTGGGTCACTCATATGGCAGTAGAAAACAGAGTCTCTGGAAATAACTTACTCAGCAATAGACCCGTTTGCCAGATTAACGAGCTGGAAAATGGTCAGTTTTTACCTGGACGTCGTGAGCATCATCTTCAGCGAGAGAATTATATTACATTGACAGAGAGAGCTATTACAGAGATCCCTTGCCTGTCTTTTCTGAAGGGAGCAGTCACTCAACATATTCCACATCCTTATTCAAAGGAGATGAGTGAAACTTCGCATGTAGTGAGTGTTACCAGATTTTTATTTCAATCGGACATTCAAGAACAAACCCTTATTTTCTTGTCTATCATTATATATCAATCAATAGCAGCAATAAAAATGCATATCAACTAAACAGGACTGTCATTAAGAGTCAAGGGCCAGGGATTTTCTCCAACAACACTTATTATCTAAGGTATGACCCACCTACTTTTATAGGAAACAAATGGAAAATAGAACCCATATAACTTTGCAGCCGTTCAATTCCCCACCTACAAATTGCCCATATCTGGATGCTTTAAATCTTAGTGACAGTCCTTACTTGTAATTTGCTTTATGCATTTTAGTTATATCCTACCTGGTTGACTTTGTGATCTTGAGAGTTCCATATGTTTTGACTGGCATTCACATGATTAAGATCATTTCTTGGTTTCCTGTGATGTATTTTTATTCTTGGTTTCATTTTATCCGTATTGTTCTTTACATACATTAAAATGTTAACGTACTACAATAGAAGTATGAAACAGAGGGAAATAAAAACTGAAATAAGGACAAAATAATAGCCTTTTTTTCTACTAATTTGTGCAATGCTAGAAAAAAATCGTCCTGGAAGAATCTGAGAAATGTTTTGGGGAGGGGAAAAGAGGTTTTAAGAGCCAAAAAATTTAGAAACATTAGGTGTGTGACCATCTGCTAAAGGAGGAGGAGGAGGGGAGAGGTATTTATTTATTTATTATTTTATTATTTATTTTTTAATTATGCCTTTGCACTTCTGAAATAACTTGTTTGCTTATAAACATTGTACACTGCATTTTATCTTATTTATGTTAACCTTACACTCTTTACCTCAAACAGACTTTCCTTGGAATGCTGTTTCACAATGAAAATGAGGCTGATGGAATTCAGAATGTCATGAAAAGTTTACACCAATATGTTCCTTACCATGGCGATAATTGCGACAAGGTCTATGGATCCCAGGGGGTAGTGGCCGATCAGTTATCTGTTGAACGTGGCGTAAGTTTCCAATGGGTTTACACCGGAAGAGAGGATGGAGGGCCTACACCTGGAAATTGCTGACTGGCATGCAGGGAATAAATTTCTTAAGGTACAAACATCACCAATACCTATTGATCAATAATTTTAAGAACTTTGGCTGGAAGAAGGCCCCAAGTGACTCTGAAAGTGCTAGATTATCCAATTCAAGTTTATTAACTCTACAGGTTTTGAAAGGAAAAATTTTGCATCATCATTTATGACCGTTACAAATCTTTATCCCACCTTGATCTCAACTTAATATCTCCATTGAAAGAACCAGTCAGCCTTTCATGTTTCTCGGTTTTTGCTTGTAATTAATTTAGTAAATTTTGATTCACGATGAAGGTAAAAAATACAGATATGAAGCATACACGTTAAAGAAAGAAGAAGGCATGAACACATAACTTGAGTATTATTTAAGTTGCTTATCATCTAACATGTTTTCTGTTTTCTTTTCTTTACAACAACACAGCTTTGCTTCAAACATTTTTACAGTGATGCAAGTGCATGTGACAAGTGTTCACTTTTCAGTGATAGGAACTTAATAAATAGAAGAAATGTAACAGCTCAAGTTGATTCAGCGGTCAACCCTTGCCGCAAGTTCTTTGTTTTAGAAGTTCAAGGGAGATTAATTGCTGCTGCATTGGAGATTCTTGGCATGGGTACCTTGAATGACAAGCCAGCAACCAATAAATTTCCAGAAGGGCTAATACACGAGTCAAAAGCAAAGCAGAAGCTGTACTTGCGAAAAATTGCATCTATGGTGGTTGGCAAGAATGTGATTCAAAATGAACAAATGGAAAGTTTCCTAGCCAAAGTACTATCCATTGAAGGATATTAGGCTGAGATTGCAAGAGAACAGAGGGAGGATGGTCGGTTTGTTTGTCGTTTTCCAGGTTGTGACAAATCGTTTACTTTTAATGGGAAGAGAATGAGAGATCATGAAGCACAACAATTGATTCACAGGTGCTTGAAACTGAAGCTTCAAACACAACTGAAGTGAAAGCTCAGGAGTCTGAGACATAACAGTCATCACAGTCTGAGACATCAAAATCTTCTGCTAGAGATGACATGTACAATTATCAATGTTCTTTTCTTCAATTTGCAATGATTATTGCTAACTTTTTTGATGCCATAAGAGAAGGAGATGGAAAATGCATTGTTCGATGTTTGGAAATTCACACTTCCCTATTTACGACAGGATAAGGGAAGCACCAAGTATGCCCTCGAGGCATTAGGACTGCTTTTCCAAATGAATTAGGCTTTGTCTCAAAGAGAAGGCCATCGTCTAGTATGGAATAGGACGGTGTCGTTAAGGTCAGGACATAATAATCGATTGGATCTTTTGATGGAATTTTTTAACAAACTGATCAAGGAAGTCCGTCGAAAGCTTGGCCCTAATGTAACCAACCAAAAATGCATTACCAGACACTGCAATGCTATTGGTGTAAATAAAGAGGTCCTTGACAATTTTGATGATGAATGCCACATCATCAGACGCTCTGGGAAGCATGTCGTCAAATCATCCAGAGTAGACTTGGAGAAGATTGTTGGAGAGCTTATGTCACAGCCTGCTTTAAGGTGGACCCCAGACCGAAAATACCAGTATTTCAACAATATCAATAGCACTCTTTTGGAAGACTTTGACTTGCAGGACATGTTTAGGTGGAGTGACAAACATAAAAAGAACATTGAACATTCAAGACGTGCTCGTTAAGTTACCTATTGTATGTTTTTAAAACACCACCTTCAAGTTAGGTACACTAGAGCCTCTGAATGTATTCTTAATGGGCTTGCAGCTCTACAGATGGATGTTCTAGTTTTTTTTAAAGGGTTTTGGTGTCTGGAAAAAGAGATGAAATGACTATTGTTGTAGTGTTAAATTCTCCCCCTTTTACTCAATGATAATATTACAACTAGCAATAATAATATTACTACAGAATATAACTATAACAAAAACTAAATACTTAAACCCCTTCTTGTGAAGCAAAGAGGGAATTTTTCTTTAGATTGAGAGTCTTAATTCCACGCATCTCTACATTTCATTATTAATGTTTTTAGGAACCCCTTTATTCACTTATTTATCATTTAGAACAAGGAATCTTTAATTCAGGCATGTGCAAATTTTTTGACACATGAATCAGTCAAGAAGACAACAGCTTGTATACTTTTCCACAAGGCGTAATTGCTCGGTATAAATGGGGAGAGAAGAAAACCATGGTAGGCCTAAGATAATAAACTCTATTGTTTTAATTGGAGAGAACCCCCCAAAGACGTTTCTGTTTGTATTTTGGGGAAGATTATCCTGATATTAAAAAATAATAATGTACATGGTGTAAGTTTTATCCTCTGTCTATATTTTGAAAGATCATTGAAATCATACAACATCATTTAATTATTCTTGTTTTAAACTGCCTTGTCAAAGAGACTTTCTCCTGTTTCTGGTTTCCTTGCCATACAGTAGTTGTTTTCCAAGCGCTATAAACTGTCCATTTTGTAATTGGATGCTCATTTAATTGTAATTGTTATAATTAAATGTAATTAAGCAAGAAAGTTTTACTCATATACAATGTACAATAATAAATTTGAGTGGTTTCGTTTCTGGAAAAATATGTTCTTATGTTAAATCAGTTTCACCCTATTAGGGTTACTTAGGTTTAAATAGGTATAGGTTGAAAAATAGTCCAGTTTCGAATTAAAAATTACCGCTGAATACTAACATTAACGACACATTCATACAAGGTAAACCTCGACAAAGTAAAGGAAGATATTCACAAATTCCGGTGTTTGAAATTTGAATAAACATGATAGACAGAGCAATAAACAAGTCTTTTTACTGGGCTGCCCGGCAAGCCCAGTCATAAATTCGGTTTTCGGTCGTCTGTGGCGAAAAACGGCCTCCCTGGGGAGGGAAGACACGAGGGTCTGGTACCGAGAAACGATGTTCTCACAAATGGTTTCATATGATTTTTCCTTGCACGAACCCTTGCACGGATACTTTTTGTACCTCGTCTCCGCTCCCCCTGAAAAACCCAGAAGGCGTTGCGAACCTGAAGAAGGCTATTTGCGTTGTTCGAAGCGATTCGCTATAATTTGTTTATTGTTCGAGTTTAAGTCAGTTGATGATGTTGGCGCGGGGAAACTCAGAGAAATGCTCACGTTGCATACAAACCCACACGCCGTTCACGGTAGGTTCACACTAACAGATGACTGCGAGCGGCAGGTTTGCAACGCCGGGGCAGTTTCGTGAACTCAAAGAGAGAATTATCGATCGATGTAGTACATGAGCAATTAGTAAGCACAATTTATGAGCAAAGTATTTCACCAGTTGACGACACTGTGGTTAAAGACTTGACTGTAAGCTGTCGTACTCACTGAAGTGAACAACTCAGTTGCCGACGAATGTCAGATGAATCCTGATGTTAAGAAATGAACGTCCATGAGCGAGGGACGTGACAACTTTGCCATATTAAAAGACTGGCTTTTCCTTTGAATATTTCCTTCTATTTATAATGCAACACACTCCACTTCTGAGGTCTAAATTTCGGATACTGGGGATAAAGAAGACACGGACAAAAATAGGAACTTTGAGAATTTCGCACACAAGGTCAAAGCTTCACCTGGACATCCCACCGGGAGCTTCACAAAGACCAACTTGAGGAAAATGGGGGATATTACAGACAAGGTTTGGTGACTGAGTAGAGCATACAAGTGTAGCCCAGGTCGAGGTTTCAGGGGGTTTGCTTTTGTTTGTATCTGTATCTTGCTAAGCCTTTGTCATTAAATTTGTACATGATCTTGTTATCACAATTCAGTGTTTTCGCCCATTCAGCAAGCACGCTAAATTGATGTCAGCTAGCATTAGCGAGTTTCAGAAAACATGCCTTCGAAAATTTTCAGCTCTCGTGATGTTTCTTGATATTTCTTGTACCATTTTGTGGAGATGTAATCTGAAGTCACCGCAAAATGGAAACTTAAAAAAGCGTATAATCCATTTATCTCGAAACATAATACACATGACTTATGCGACCTTTATTTTCGTAATGGTGTTTTGAATACGAACGAACACAGTCAATGTGAGGGGCAAAAACAGCATTAATATGAATGAACCATAGGGTTTTAATTAATATAAGGGTCAATTATTGTGCATTGAGATGAATCGCTGGAAAAGAAAGACTTCGCTTGAAGATGTGATCAGAAGTAAGCAAAGGCACAATAGTGCGTCACGCTCAGTCTTTTTAATATCCAAGAACTTTGAAGAGTGTTTCCATATTGTTTAGCTGGCACAAAAACTTCGGAGGAGTTATAAAGCGGCATAGTTATCTTCCATGAAGAAAAGTTAGTCATGGGTAAGACGTAAACAGTGATCTGGAGTGAATTTTTAACTCATATCGGTATCAGGTAAAAAACATGTTATCGATCGTTTGATCCATTTACATTGTTTGAAGTGGGCGCTGATGAAAGCAACATGCGAGCGAGAAATCTTTAAACTTTTTTAGGTCACAAAATGCAAAGGATTTTATTCCTTTAAGTTAGAGAAAAATACCAAGAGGAACGTCTTAAAACTGAATACTTTTTATCTTGTGGAAAAAATAGTGCGTTTTCATGTAGTGTAGACCGCAAATTAGGATCGTCTATTCCCGGCTTAGGAAACTCAACTTTACTTCACGGGTTCAAAAGGTCATGGTTTGTGATTTGTGGATTTCGATCCGTTTTGTGTGTTTCTCTGTTTCAAGGTTCGTTGCTTCTGATCGTAATTATGATTGACGGCAGCGAAAAACGCAATTGTGAAAGTGGCTTTTGAACTTTAGATTTCGCATGTTTGTGAAAAGCACAGTAAAGTCTCAGTGCAGTCTGTGAGGCTCCTGGATCAGGCGGGATCAATGGACAGTTGGCTGTCTGTTTTAGTATACTTCTGGTTTTCATACAATACAATATTTCTGTCTAGTGTAAATCAGCTCAGTCTGTGGCATTTTATACTCGCAGAACGACAATGATTTTTGGAATTTCCGGTTACGTCAAATTAGACACGTTATACTGTCACGCTATATTTTGGGGCACAGAGGGATTGGGGAAGGGGTGCGTGAAAATAATGCAAATCGTTTCCTGCTTTGAATTAATGGCTAACTTGTTTATTTTTATTCATAATGGTGGAATTTAAAAGTTATTATACATTCACTTAAAAATGGTACTCTTTTTTTTGTTACAAAAGTCTTTCAAAAGGGTACAATGTTCTGAATGAGTTTATGTTTCAGTCTAACATGAGATTCTGTCTCACGCAATGGTCGGCGACAAGGTTTTATGGTCGCCTGAGTGTCAGTGATAGCGCCCCCTTCCCTCAGAAAAAATAGCCCCTTTGCGGCCCAGTTAAAAATCGCCTTTCGGCGATTCTTGTTCTCACTGGAATTTGTGAATATATTACTTCAGATGGAGGCGAAGCCTGTTCATAGCGAATTCGAAACTGAACTATTAAGAGTCAACCCTAACACATAGAAACCCATACTAAAGTAAATAATGGTTTCACCTTGCTTGAACATGAATTCTATGGAAGAACAGAAAAATGTCTCTAAATATTAAGCAAGACACCGTAACACTAGACACTCAAAATGCAAAAAAAAATCCTTTTTACAATCAATTAGCCCCCCCCCTTTTCCCCTTCATCTGCTGGTTGGGTAATCTCTACGAATGTCCTGGAGCACAGTCATACTTACATATTTGTTCCTAAGATAAAAGGTTATTGATAACACTTGTTACACTTCTTTGCTTGTTCATTTCCTGACTGATCAATTTCGTCCATTACTTCATCCATATTCATTAAATCACTGTCAAATAATGTTTGACAGAGTTCAGAATCATCACGTAAACTGGCCCATTCCTGATCAATAATCTTCATCATGGTCAGAAGATTCCAATTCACTAATTGGAACATCCGCAAAAACCTCATTCACAGCATTCAGGATAGCTGTAGCATGTTCTTTTCTCCACACTTCTACAACAGTGTGAACATCTTTTAAAGTTTTCAACTTGTCACAGTGGTTCAGAACTTGATTAATGTTGAAACGAGTAAATTTTTGGAGGATGGTGGTTGCCACAATAGGCCAAGAGGTATTTTCAGAGACCAACTTTTTCATATATGTTTCCAGCTTAACATTCAAAGATTCCCTCTGTTCTCTGCTCACATTTCTTACAGGCTGAGGGACCGCAGTATTGGATTCAGCATTTTCTCCGACATTTCAACTTTGTTTTAATAACACAGTCACTCTCTTCAAAGGTACAACTACTTGCACAAAAGTCACAACAGTCATGTCCAGTAACAGCAAAAATAAAATTACCTGGAAAATTTTGGTACATTAACTTTCTCTTGCACTCCTTGTCATTTTCAATGTAGTTCTTCACATCATCAGAACAATGTGCAGCCATTAAACCACTGTGCAAAAGAACACACTTGCTAGGCTCACCATCTCGGCCTGCCCTTCCACATTCTTGAACGTAACACTCCAAATTTTTGGACGGTCCGATGTAAATGATACGATGCACCCCTTTACAGTTGATTCCCATACCAAACGCCACTGTACAAGCAAGAACTCTGATGTGACCCACTGACTGCGAGAAATTATCTAAAACATGTTTCTTAACTGAGTCAGGAGTACCAGCATGGAACATTCCACCATTCGCTGCCTTGCATCTGGTTTTCTATTTACATACAAATCATCAGAAAGCGAGTCAACAAAGGTTCTGTAAACTAGGGCGCGCTGTTTTCGGGTTTGGCAAAAAATTGTTGTCCGTTCAAAATTACATCTTTGATTTCTCAGCTCTTCGACGACAGACTCAAATACTGCTGACAGAGGTAGATTTTTGTCCAAGTACTGCGTCCCAAAACGAATATTCTGTCTTTCAGGACTTCGCTCAATAACAAAGGTTGCCTAGCTCAAATTGAGAGTTTTAAATATGTCTTTCTTTGTGGCCTTCGACGCGGTCGCGGTGAAAACGACAGTAGATACATCACTTGAAATGAGGGAGTACATCTCTCCTAAATTTCCATACCACTGTCGAAAAGGAATGGACGTTGGATTGGACTTCGAAGAAAGGCCCCACTGACTAATACAATGAGCTTCATCGATGATGACTGAAATGAATAGTTTATTAAAACTCTCTTGCAGTAAAAAGAACTGAATTATCGAGTACATTTTACAATCTTAAGGCAACTATTATCTAGAGTATAGTAATTTACAGTTATAACAATGATAATAACAATTGAATCACTTAAAATATTTAAAAGTAAAGAAGTCCTCCACTCTCTTTGTTCTTCAGACCTGCATGTTCCGGAAAAGATAATACTTTTGTGTTTTATGCCTTAAGGTGTAGTTAGGCGCGTCCAAAGTCGGCTGGGAAGTAGGTAGTGCAGAGGGTGGCTGGGGGACTTCATTTTCGCCATATATTTGTAGCACAAGTGTACTCTTCTATCATCTAACCTATCTAGTTTACCTAACTGTAAGGCATGAGCATATGACTCTGCCTCGGAGTAGATCATGTTAAGCGCCCTTTTTTGCACTCGCTCTATGGCTTCGGACAGGTAAGCAGGGATGTCCTGCAAAACTGGTACAGCATACTCTAAAACTGGCTGGACTGATCTAAGGTATATCCTCAAGAAGTTGGGTTGGCTCACCCTGGCTCTGCGGAGAACTCTAAGGGAGTATAACTTCTTACAAGCTTTCTTAATAATGTAATCAACATGAGAGTTCCACTTCAGGTCTTCGACTGACGCCAGGAACGTTCTATAGTGGACGGAGGAAAGGAGTTTCCTCCATCTGCTGGAATTCAACATTCTTTCCGGCGACAAAAAAACGTAGGTGAAAGCACCACTTTCCACATTTTGTAAAATTTCCTCCGATTGCTCATCATGAAGGGCCACTGCCGAGAGACTCATGGACTTTAAATATCGCACCTGGTCTTCCATCAATGTCTTCAAAGGGGAGATGACGATGACCTTGCTTGTTCCACGAGGACGATCAAACATTACATCAGCGATGATTGGAATCGCGTAAAAAATCAAAGATTTGCCATATCCAGTCGGAAGACTTGCATGTACATTTTTACCGTCACATATAGCCTTTAAGCACTCTTCCTGCTCCGGATAAAGCGACGCGACGTTAAAGACTTCGCAAACGCGCTTCACAGCAGCCTGAAAGTCCGCCATTTTTTTCACACTGGTGAACTTTGGTTGTGACGCACACACGCTTGTCAGCGGATACTATTTCATAATTTATGCGAAATCAGTACCCTGCTAGCGGGACGCTGGAACACGATTAGCGACGGCGTTACGCAGACGTCCCTTTTCCGCGTGCAACAAAGGAAATAGGAGACGTCTGCACGCAGGCAATCGAATAAACGCCCCCTTTTCATGTGAAAAAAAGAAGCAATCGTCCCCGGCTATTATTCGAGGAAATACGGTATTTTTATCGCTTGCCTCTCCACCACAGACCAGTCGATGATCTGTCAACAGCTGTAAAATTGACCAATCGGTTACTCCCTTTTTGGGGGCTGACGGAGGGTTTGTTCACTACAAAAGAGTACGCAGTCCGTCTTTTCTCGTCTGGTGCAAATCTGTTATTGTAACATGACGTCGTGGTTTGCGATCGCGCTGGCTGAGATAAGAGCAGGACGGATTTTAAGAGAAAAGGCGGACTAATGTAATTTTAGTTAACGGTTTCACGAAAAAGAACGGAAGAACTCCTTTATTATCGATTTATTCTCATGAATCAGATATGTGAAAAGGGTACAATTTTCCAACGGAAGATACACGAAAAGGGTACCTTTTGTCAAGAATAACATATAATGGTAAGGGATTGGAACAAAGCCTTATTGCGTAGCCTCCGGCCCCCCTCCCCCAGGGGGGATGAAACGTACTTCCTTCTGTGTTCACTTCCTCCATTGACATATGCAACATATTGCAACCTATGGGTAGTTAAATCAGGTTTGGTACGTAACTCATTACAACTTCACGCCGATTTAAGTGTGTACCCCAAATTTTGGGGTCATCAAGTATTCATATATTCAGGCTATTGTTCCTGCCATTGTCGATTACCTTCCGAAGAATCCACGAGCGGAATTCCTTTGATTTAGGTGCGATATGTCTCTTTTGTTTCGAATTTTGTTGCTTGATTGACTTTTTAATCCCCATTGTTACCTGATGAGTATTAAATTTATCCATTAAAATACTCGGACTTGCCTGTTAAATTTGCTGCAGTCTGTGGGAACGCTTACAAGTCTTTTAAGCGTGGCGGACAGCTCTGGTTGCATAACATATTTTCGGTCACGCACCGTATTACAAAGGAAACAAGAACGCTCTAGGTAGCGTTGAGTCTCGCTTGTTTGTAGATAAGATAAGAAGTGAGGAGACGAATAGAGCGCGAGCGGTGTTCTGGGCAAAACGGTATTATATTTAGCCGTGAAGGTCTTGTTTAGGGTTGTATGTGAAAAAATATAAAAATAACAACATAGTCTCTCAGGGGTCAAAAAAGCTTGGGCTACGCCTGGATCGATCTCTTGTAGGGGTTTAATTCAAAATTTCCGACGAGCATCCCTTTGCCTTTCATGTGCAGAGTCGTCCTCCCCCGGGGTTCGTCATAATTCCTCAGAGTCACCGACAGCAAGTGAAAAAGTTGAATTATGATTTCAATCTACTGTACGGGGTCCAGAGGAGTTGCGTGTGAATAAATTAATTAATTATTCGAAGTCTCACCTCGAAAAATGTTTATACCTGTCGCTTAGCACGATTAATTAGCCCAATGGGATCTTTATGAATCTACTGTAAAGGATTTCTTTGCTTTTTACCTGATCCAGATCGACTTTGTTGTTCGCCATTTTGAAAATCAATAACCGCAAGGGTGACGGAAGGGCGACCGAAGCGCGAAGTGGCGAGTAAAAAAAAGGATAAGGGAGGATACTTGTACCACGTGACTTAGTTCGTTGTGAACCGCACCTCTCGGTGGCGGAAGTGAATGAGACCGGAAACGCAAAAGCAACAGACCGCTGCTAATTCGAGAATCAAAATATTAGCTGCGGAGGGAGTTTTAAAGATCTTAGAGATCTATGCGAAGGCAACAGAGTTTTAAGTGAAGTGAAGATCTTTCAAGACTGAACATTTGTTGTGTACATGCCAACAGTCTTCGATGTCTTTAAGCAGGTTTCGCTTGTGTAAAGGCTTCCCACTACCCAGTCGCAAAACGAACAACCAAAGACGCAAGAGGTAACATTGTTGGAACCACCGAAGAATGGCTCAGTCGTGATATTACAGTTGCCTTGTACCTCCGCTCTACTCAGTATTACGTTTTATTGCAACAGTACACACGACCTGTAAATCACTACCCGTAATAATTTAAGATTTTCCAAACAAAACTAATGAGTTGGGCTTAACGTGATACAGCATTGCACAAAAACATTACATTCATAGACTAAAGAAAATCGCTTAGTTATTCAGATCCAGAAGATACTTTGGAGAAAACTGGAACCCTTATTCAGCCGTAATAAAAAGCTTCACATCATGCTTCAAAATAGTCTGCTACACAGTCGTTTTTAGTGTCGTCACGCAACACTCTTCCCCGCTAATAGCCACAGTAAATCGATATGTGTGTCATGATCTCTCAGCGTGAAACATGCGGGTAAAATAACATTTACTCAGTGAAAATGTAGAACCTTCCAGAGCATAATCTACACAGCAGACGAAAAAAACTTTATTGGAACGAGCAGCATTTACTTTACTACGTCATTTCAGTCATCTTCTGTTGCGGTGGACAGCAAACGGAAGTGCTGTCTCGAAGCCGTAAATTTCGGTCGCCGAAAATGAATTTTTATGCCGTTTTCCTACAGTATTTCGCAAATACATAAGAATTCTAGATCAGGTTAGTCAAATCAGGCAATTTCATTGAATTTCATTTGAGTTTCAAAGATTCGAAAATCGGCCCTAGATTTGTTTCCTCGACATTTATCATCGCCTGTACAATAATATTAATGATGTACGAAATATCAAGTTGTTCGTTACAATTAAGTATCCAGCATCATGAAAAAAAGGAAAAGAATCAGGCTGTTGAACACGAGAGGTAAATTAACGACGATTTGCTTGTTGTTTTTTACCTCATCATCGAAGTTCTGCTCATGAACATTCTTCCTTGTTTCAACATCTGATGTATTCACTTCTTTCAAAGTTATCAACGCTTTCAAACGACAGAATTCGTGGAACGAACCATTCCGGAACGCTCGACATCTTTTAGTGTGGGTCTACCACGAATGGTGTGTGGATTTGTAAGCGACATCACCGTATAATCCATTAATCTTTCCAAATTTTTCGTCTCTGAACATAACATTCAGACAATTGCGCGTTGTTTTTCCAAGTGTTCACTGAGATTGAGAGCATCGTGCCGATTTTCATCCCCAGATTCTGCGCTACCATGACCCGGAACACGTCTTTACAAAACTATTCTTTTTGTCACGTTTAGCTGTGTTTACTTTTTCCCACGTGATCGTGAAGGTCAGAACCAAGTTACCATAAGATCAGAGAGAGCACGTCTTTACAGTTTTACTTTTTCTTATGTCTGTTTTGCACTTACGATTTTATCGGCTTACTATGTCATATAAGCCTGAAACGTAACCTGTTTTAACGAAAAAGATAAAGTCTGATTTCTTACATGGAAGAAAAGCACTTAAACGTGATAAACATTGCGTGTTATTCCAGTCATCCCCCAAAATAAACCACATGCTCATCACGAGACTCATTTCCATACAATGAAAGTCGTCACGATTCTTATCCCCAGTTTCCACGGTCTTCGCTAGGAACGCGGGACCTACAAACTAGGTCCCACCGAAAAAAAAAAAACGAACAGCATTTTAAGATTCTCGCTTTGCTAAAGCAAGCGAGACTAACAAGCCTGATAAATGTGAAGTTGATTAAAGCTTATAAATACCTGGTCTCCAGTAGTAGTTTTTTTTTATTAAATACTCTCTTGCCTTGAAAATAATTTGGCGTTTAAAGAATTGCTGCGGAAGTTATTTCTTAGAACGTTTTATTCATTCAGTAGCTCTGCAATCAAGAGCGCACAACTCTTTTCAAAATGTAAATGAAATGTAAATGTAAATGAATGAATTTATAATTTAAATCAAAAAATAAACTTTTAGCATTTAACGGGATGACACAGTTTTATTAGAGTGTAATTTCACTTTTTTGGACGTTTTCGCTTGCCTTTCAGTTTTTTTTTTTTATTGAACAAAACCTTGTGTTTCAGTTACGTGACTGCAGGGCCCGAAATAACCGCGTATTGTCCGTTCACCGATTTGCATGACAACTTGATTCGCGGAGTAGTCGAGTGAGACGGGAAATATCTAAAATCAAAACAAGAGCTGTAATCGACAGATCAAAACTTGCGGAGTTCATAATTCCTCGAAATAATTTTGTAGAAACGCTTGTATAGTTTCATTGCTCTGGAGAAATGAATAACTGTTATGATTGAATGAATGGATAACTCTCGGCCGGGATTTTATTAAGCGATAGGCGAGAAAAAATGCTTCAGCGGCTTGCTTTGTACTTTGAAACCTCGCCAAGAAAAAAAATCCAATCTCGGCCCACAGTGGTCGAAATTTCTCGTTCAAGATCTCTTTTTGAAGCTCTCAAAATTCTCCTTTTTGAAAAATACGTGTCCAAGTCGAAGAAGTTTTGCGAAAGACTTAAATCCATAAACTTCTACCGCAATATGTGCGATAATTCTCTGCAGTTTTATTGACACACTTAGAACAGAAGGATACCTTTAAAACTGCCCTGGGCAGCTTAATTAAGCCATTGTTCAATTCCTTTGATTTCGCTTCTGAGTCTTCTGCCATAAAATCTCACCTTCTCTGAACCGAGTCAAAACGAGCACTCTCGAAGGGAAAGTCCGGAGGAATAAATTGAGCCTTCAGGGTACAAAATCCAGCGGTTATGCCCATTTCTGAAATATACACTTAAATCGGCGTGAAGTTGTAATGATTTCATGAAGAGATCATATCCAACGCCTCAGTTTGCAATTACGTGTATAACATGAATACTGAAGAAAGGTTCAAACTAACGTTTTTGTATTCTACAAGGAGAAATATATATAAATCGGGGTAGGAGACCGTAACTGGATTCCTTTTCCAGAGATGGGGTTTGCTGCATCGAAAAATATATCA